TCTATGGTAATCATTTACATTCAAGTCATTACTAAAACTAATATTAAAAATCCATCAATAAGTATCTATACAGGTGAATAGATACTTTTTACCCTAACAAGTTGATCAAATTTTCATTACAATGATTATGCTTGAATAAGTTAGATGAAAACCAATAACCAGAGCCATGTAGAAGCTAATAGTAAAATCATTTCTTTGAAATTGGTTGATTTTTAGTTCAAAAATTGTCTAACGTAATTTCATGTAGAGATGATGAGAATCAAAGAAGAAGCAGAGGCTAGAATAAGTTAGATGAAAACCAATAACCAGAGCCCATGTAGAAGCTAATAGTAAAATCATTTCTTTGAAATTGGTTGATTTTTGTAGTTCAAAAAATTGTCTAACGTAATTTCGTATGTAGAGATGATGAGAGAATCAAAGAAGAGAAGCAGAGGCTAGAATCAAGTTAGATTCTTATGGTTAGTATATTTCTATGCAATTGAGTTCCTTTTTTTGCTTTAGAATGGTCTATGGTAATCATTTACATTCAAGTCATTACTAAAACTAATATTAAAAATCCATCAATAAGTATCTATACAGGTGAATAGATACTTTTTACCATAACAAGTTGATCAAATTTTCATTACAATGATTATGCTATGAATAAGTTAGATGAAAACCAATAACCAGAGCCCATGTAGAAGCTAATAGTAAAATCATTTCTTTGAAATTGGTTGATTTTTGTAGTTCAAAAAATTGTCTAACGTAATTTCGTATGTAGAGATGATGAGAGAATCAAAGAAGAGAAGCAGAGGCTAGAATCAAGTTAGATTCTTATGGTTAGTATATTTCTATGCAATTGAGTTCCTTTTTTGCTTTAGAATGGTCTATGGTAATCATTTACATTCAAGTCATTACTAAAACTAATATTAAAATCCATCAAGTATCTATACAGGTGAATAGATACTTTTACTAACAAGTTGATCAAATTTTCATTACAATGATTATGCTTGAATAAGTTAGATGAAAACCAATAACCAGAGCCCATGTAGAAGCTAATAGTAAAATCATTTCTTTGAAATTGGTTGATTTTTGTAGTTCAAAAAATTGTCTAACGTAATTTCGTATGTAGAGATGATGAGAGAACCAAAGAAGAGAAGCAGAGGCTAGAATCAAGTTAGATTCTTATGGTTAGTATATTTCTATGCAATTGAGTTCCTTTTTTTGCTTTAGAATGGTCTATGGTAATCATTTACATTCAAGTCATTACTAAAACTAATATTAAAAATCCATCAATAAGTATCTATACAGGTTGATTTAATGCAACTGAATTTTTCTCTGAATCTCAGCTTGTGACCAATATTGCTCACAGTGACATAGTTCTGTAGAGCGTATATAAGAAATGATACAACTATTCTGTTACAGTAAGCACTGTGATCAAATAAATCTACAGTGCATCTAGAATAACACTCGATATGGATAAAACTCTCCAGCCACAAGAATCTTTGATTCAAAACAGTCATCCTTCACAAAATCTTTCGTACGGTGTTCAACCTTCTTCATTTATATGTCGTTTCAATCAGTGCGGGGTAAAAACGGCAACTAAGGGTGAAATTGATTTCCATATACGAACTGTTCACAATTTGTTTCCTTGCACGTTCTTATTCTGCTACAAAAGTTACACTAACCCACAAGCAGCAGAATTATGTTCGTTTGATCACAGTGTTATGAACGTCACTAATGAGCTTATGGAACGCAGAAGAAATCTTCTTAAAATAATAAAGAATTTGCAACAGATTAATGTTTCGATTAACCAAGAGATGGACAATATTGATAAAAACTGTAAAAAAGTTTTGGAAATCTATGAAATAATGCGACAACGATTGATTGGATACCAACAACAAATTCCACAAAGAGCTGATGAAGCAAAATAGTATGGTATGATGACAAAATCATTTAGTTTTGTTATTTAAGCGTATATATAATAAAAAATGATGAATAAAATTTATGGTATAACAAGTTTAATGTTGAATGGTTTCTTTCTTCGCGTTGACAATGAAACTTTTGGCTCATTTCAGAAATCAATTTAGTGTTCAGAAAGCAGTGTCTTTTTTCTGTTTCAAAAAGGTTTTTTTTGCAGATTTCCATGTTTTCAAGTGTAAAAAGTGTAAACACAAATCATTGTCTTTATCAGGTATGATAACTCATATATCTGATTCACACTCGAAGCTTTACGACACATTATGTTACGTTTGTGGGCAACACTGTGATACCAGTGAAAAACGAAATCATTGTATAGATTTTCATCATATTGAAGAGTACCTTCAAAATACTGACACCAGTGAGGGATCCATGGCAATTGATGGGGACTCCATAGCGCAGCGAACACGGAACAAGTGTGGCACAAGAAAAGCTAAAATATCTGCTTAACGGTCACTAAGCAAAATGAAGGCAGATAATCTGTTTTAACTACGTAAATTGTACAAACCCTTTGCATCCAAATAATATGTATAGCAACCTTAATCAGGTGCGGTTTCTTAAAGTAAGCAGTTATTTGCTGTTTTACCTATGAATAAAATATCTTCAAAAGAAAATGATAAGTGTTGATAAAATTAAGATAAATGAAAAACAAGAGAGCAGAAGATCTTCATACACATATATATAAACCAAATTAAAAACTGACAAAATATTTGTATACAATTTTGTCTTGAATTACAAGTGTTTTACAAACATCTTACAAGCAGCAACAGTGCAACTGTGCAACGATTCAATCTTACTCATTACAACATATTCATGAAAAATCTCAGGTAAAGTAATTGATTCTCTCTGACTATGCATTCACCGTTAATTAAGCGTTCAAGCACTTATGAAATATCTGTGTTGAATCACATTGAAACACTCCTTCTAGATAGATTCGCTAAAAGTTTCTTAATCTGGAACCTCGATCAATCATTTGCATCTGTAAAATCTTATCCTTATCTAATTGATGCGTCACGCGATCGGATATTTATCCGTACAAAAGTTCCACCAATTTTCATACCCATTCCTAAACAAGTTCTTGCCTCTACTCCTGATCCGGATCTTCTTGTCACATTTAATGTAGCTGATTTCGTCGATCAAATGGGACTCCAGCCAACTTCGAAGGTTTTACAATTTCTTAAGACACTGCAGTCGTATGAAAAAAACAACTGGGTCCGATATCAGTGTAATAAATGTCAAAACTATTTCTTGGATCCTGTTACATTCAACAATGACATTTCTCTGGCTTGTTGTATTTTCAATCGTTCGAAGCATGACATAATCACCATAAGACTTGAGAAACAGTTTCCAGGTTTAACACAACAAAACGCAACACTCCTTCTTGATATTGCTGAACAAAAACAAGATGAATACACAGCGTATCATAGTAAACTGAAAGAACAATCAACTCTGATGTTGAAAGATAAATTGCCTGCTGAATCCAGCCAGCGTCCAGAAACCCGGAAAAAAGTTACATTTTCTGATTCCACGAATGACGGTGATTCTTCATCGTGTGAAAGTGGCTCAGATGATGGCTCGACTACAGGCGATGATTCTGATGAGTGTGGCGGAGAAGAAGACGGAAGAGAAGAAGAAGAAGAAGAAGGAGAAGAAGAAGAAGAAGCCTCAACACGTAGCGTACGACAAATAGAACAAACTGATGGTTTTGATCAGCAAAAATTAGCTATTGAAATAGCTGTGGATAATCTTGACAGAATTATGGAAGAATCGTTGACAACAACAATTGTTTCTGATTCTGTAAATTGTCTCGATACAGGCAACAACATTCCCACAACTACTACTTCCACTGCTAATGATCAGCCTGATGATTCTAATTCCACTGTTCCTACTTCAATTGCAGCCAGTTCAATAGGTTTAGATTGCCAACAAATGACAACAACAGTTGTAGTCCAGGAGAGTAAACCGAGAGATGAATTACAAGAAGCTATTATGGCTATCGGTATACCTTTAGATGATCACCAAAGATCAGTTAAAGAACATGAACATGAACAAGATCTATTCGCTCAACAGGCAAAACCCAAAATTTGTAAAAGTCAAACTCGGCTTGATACTCAATCATCAAACAATAATAATACTGCTAGTAGTAGTAATTTTAGTAGCAATGAAGTTTCCCTTGAATCACATTTATTTGATTTTGCCCTAGCAAATCCGTTTCATGCACATACTCCTAAAATATTGACATTAATAGCTACTCTTACAAAGAAAAATAAATGAATAAATTTCTCAAAAAAAACTGTTTTTCTCTTTTCCAATCATACTTTTAGATGGCCAATGAAAAAGATGCACCAGATTACTTGTATAGCCTAGCTACATTAGAAGACACAAAAATTGGTTGTTGAACGAAAAATCAAAGTATTTGAAGAAATCATATTACTGGTTTAAAATGGTTGATACTATCGTCGCTCAACCGCAATATCAGCTTGCAAACAATCAGACAAAAAGCTTTACAACATTCAATCATGAGAAAATTGTTCTCTACGACCTACAACTTAAACAATACTTTGTAGCTGCCCACCTACCTGATAGTTGGACTCAATGTAATGCTTACATTGAAAAACACATGAACAAAAAGCCGGCAACTAATCTACAAGAAGCGCTAGAAAAAGAAAAGAACAAACCTGCATCGACTCTACAATCTTTTCTTTGTATTCTTAAAACTGCCTCTGGTAACGATTGGAGATTACAGACTTGTGTTCACTGTCGCTGGGTGGTCACATCATCACAGATTTCTTATCATGCTAAGTCGTGTAAGCAAATTAAAAATCCTAAACTCACCTTTAAATCGTTGACAGAAACATTTCAAGAATTGGAGCCATCATTGGCTAGAGAATTCATAGATTATGCTAATGCTCGTGAAATATATCATACATCGGTATCAAACACTGTCAAGAGAAAGAATACATCCAACCAGATGTCAGCGAAAAAATACCCCAAAATTGGAAATAATAATAATAATTAACTTTATTGACTCTTGTCTGTTTTCAAAGTAAAGATATTTTTCGCATCTCTTCTACCGGTTGTGAACAAATGAAGCATTCATTCATTTCGAGTGAACAATCGTGGCAAAGGGCAGCATGATAACAAGGGAAATACAAAATATTAATGTCATTACAGTAACACTTTTTACAATTAAAGTTTTGCCTATTTGTCATATTTTGCCCCGTTTTATCATGACCGAGAACCATACTTCTTTTGGCTGACGAGTTGTTGACAAGTTCATCGCTTGCTTGCCGTTCAGTGTCAAATTGTAAGGGTGCTCGATACTTACAAGAAGTACTAGCTAAATGATCGTCAACTTCAGTCTCTCCATTCAATGTATTAATTATAAACAGACAATTTACAGAATTGTTATAATGATCGATTTTCAGTGAATCTTCGTCCAATTTGAATTTTCCATAATTTTCGTAGAAAGCAGTCAGATCCACTCGGTATCCACAATGAAAACAAAACATAGAATTCTCTTTATCAGCACAGACGAACCCAGCTTGAGCAACAGTAACCATCAGTTCTGAAGATGATGGCGCTGAAAATGACTGGCTATAGAAAAAAGTGTATATACGATGTTCAACATCTTCAAAATCCGGATAGTTTGGTTGTTGTTTTTTGACCCTCAGATCAGACTCAACAAATTGAGCTTGCAATTTGAATTGACTATTGGGATCATTCTGGTCTTTCCTGTAAACTGATATTGGATACAGCAATTCATTCACTTTCTGAACACTTGCAAAATAAGCTTGAATCTTTATCATTATAACACGATTCTCAGGTTTATGATTTTGCATGAATGGACAGGAAAAAGTTTGTTTCATGTGCATTTTGACACAAAAATCATCTGTTACCTCTGGAGATAGTTCAATGTTGAATGCACAATCAGCACATCGTATAGCCTTACCATTAGGCATTGCAGCCAACCCATAGCATGAAAGGTACCAAATTTTACGATTTTTCATTGTTTTAGTTGAAACATGATGTCTATATGAAAGCCATATTTTGCTGACTTTTTCAAACATTGCTTGTTCCAGTTGAATCAAATGTGTGGGTACCTTATAGTCAACCTCTGCAAGTAATTTAGATGGTTTGGGTAGCAACATTTTCTACATAAAACACGAGAACACAGTCAATGTATAAATCACTATAACAAATGTTGTTTAACAGTTTAAAGTTTTGCATTCAACAGTAAGTGTGTACCTACCAAAGTAGCCTTTGTTTTATATACACAAAATGAGTCGAGAAAAAAATATGTACGTCAAAGGTGATTACATTATCAAATCAATGTTTCCTATCCCATCGAAAGTTGTTAAAACCTTTTTCCCTGATAAAATCAAACCAATTCTCAACAAATCATCTTGGTTTTATTTCTTCAACTTTTCTCCGTTAACCAATAAAATACCGGTTTCAAGAAAAATGTTACATAACCGGGTTATGGAAGGAAAATTACTTGGCTTTCAGTATGACCTGTGTGAGCCAATCAAAGATAACTTTGCTGCTTACATTGGTTTCATTCCAGCCAAGGACAATTTTCTTACAGCCAATGATTTCTCTCAACTTCATCGAAGCCCAATCATTGGCTCAGTCAAAATTTATCCTAGACAACTTATTCTAAATGTTAGCGGAGCTTTGAAAAAATGTTTCTGTAAGGTTGAAACTGCTCACACGAGTATCAAAACTGGTATCACCTCAAACACGGTTACACGTGATTGTGACGATGCTGACTGCTTTCTAATTTGTTTAAAATATCGAGATTCGTCTACTCATTATTCTTGTGTTTCAAATATTGCCTGGGATAAGGTTGCATTTGACTTGGGTGATTACGATGAGACTATTGATGATCATACCGTCAAAGAGGTAAGAAATTGTTCTGTTTGTGCTCAGTGTTACAGCTGTTCAATTTCACCACATAAATTCTGTAAAAAACATAAAATTTGTAAGCATAAGATAAAAATTATTGTTGAACCAGATGCCATCGTTGAATCATCTCATTTGAAAGCTTGTAAAAAAATAAAACTCATTTAATTTCTATTTTCTTGAGAAATAAATTTCTTTTTAATATTGCAATTGTTATTTAAAAGTTAAAAAAATATACATCATTCTTTCGATTTACGATGTGATCGAAGTCGCTTTTTACACTCTTTTTGCACAATTTGGAAATCAAAATTCTTGAAAATAAAAAGACTAAGATATTTATGATTTATCAACAAACAGAAGTTTTCTGTATCAAGTTTTTCTCTTGTTTTCTCCAATTTCACTGCTAGTTCCTGGGTGCATTCAATTATAGCGTCTATCGATACTTTTTCGGTGGTCGTAGGTGATTGTTGCAAGGCACAGTTTAAAATCATCCCTAAAAACTTATTAACATGCTCTGCTAGTTTAGTTGGAATATTGAGGTTGTATGAATCAAGCTTTGTTATTCCGAAACGTTTGCATATGAGGAAATAAGACTGGAAGTAGAATCCGAGTCTAGCGATGAAAACGTTCCCAAACGATTTACCAAGATTTTGCCAGAATATTCCAACTTTTTGATAGTCTGAATCAAATTTAAGACCCAACTCGTTCAAAATTTTAACGGCAATATGTGTGAAATTAGTCTCGGTTAGCTTAGAGTTGGAGTACAGACCGCAAGTAATGCAGGCAAAATAGGAAAACAAATCAGCAGTTTTGTCCAGTACATGTAACAAGGCCTGTTTGAGAGATGTAATTTGTTTCTTGGAAAGAGAAACAGAGTTGCCCAGCGCTTTCCGGAGATCGGTTAAAGGAATATTACCTCTAGCATTCACATCACAGATTAAATTTTCATTAGGAATATGTCTGATAAAGTCCTTATACTTTTTTGTGATGATATTCAAAGTATGGTTGCATCTGTAATGATGCAAGCCTGCCATCTCCATGAAAATGTGCCATTTGTTAGACATTGGTAGCCTCATTTCGTATTTGTCACAAAGATCAAGAATATCGTTAAATCGATCTTTAACTTTCTTCAATGATATTGCATGTAAAGATGAAGTATTGCCAAATACACCGAATGTTGACAAATCAGACCAAACATCAGCCACAAAGGAGTCATCATGGGCATTTATTTTAACTATTTCATTGTAAAACTCAAAACAAAGGTTTATGAAAACTTTTTTCAGTTCACCATTATTTTTTTCATCTATGTTCAAATCTTGGGTTGATAAATCCCAATAGAGATAGGTTAAAATTTCTATTTCCCCTGCACGAAATGAATGATACTTTCGCGTACCGGAATTTCTTTTTGCTTTACTGCTACTTTTTTTATCAGGAACAACCAAACCGGCAGACTTCATCCTAACAATAAATTTAGCAAAATCAACATAAGCAGAAGGTATGAATCCATAACCCAAGTTAAATATTGGCAAATCGTTTTCAGTATTTGTTAGGCTATGTTGATAATATAACGGGGTGTGACCTAGCAGTGACCGTTTCTCACAATCGAATATTCGCAAGTCAGGGAAAAGCTCGTTTAGAGAGACAAAATCACCTCTGAATGAATATTTCAATAGATTGCTTCCATTATCGAGTTCATACGTTTTGTTGTCTTCAAGAGTCTGGCCAAAAATAACTTTAGGATACGGACCTTGTACAACCTTGTTTTGTGGCTGTGCTGAAATAAAACTGAAAGATAGTTCCACCGGGAGACGACAGTCACCAATACAAGATGATTTTTTGATACCAAATTGTTTTTTCATCTCGTGGTATCGCCAATCCGTTTTTCTGGTAAACTTGTAGTATGTATCCGAGTTTACGTGAGTGTACAATGGATAATTGTATTTCACTCTACCTTTGGCAACAGAAACAGTGTCACTTTCCATGGGATCCACTGTTTGAGATATGGAAACTGGTGAATCTTCGGATGTAACAACTGTTGGCATCTCGTTTGGCATCATGTCTTCATTATGAGTCTTTTCACTGATCTTGGTTTTAGTTGTTTGTTTTTTGCTTTTTTTACACGATTTGCTAGTCTTTGGGTGTTTCTTACGTTTGACAGGTTTGCTTGGGGACTGGTCAATCTCATCCAGACGTTGATTTTCAATGTTAGAATTTCCATTGTTTTCCGCAAGGATACCAGTTGAAATCAAACTTTCGACAGCAGCTAATGTTTCCGTTGAATGCTCATAATTTTCAGTGGCATCGTCAATAGATGATTTTTCTGAAAAAAATTCTGTTAAAGGTGGCTCTTCCGTTCCAGCTCTCGTAATAAAATCTGGAAGTTTTTCCGTAAGTAAAAAATCAGTGTCGTGAAAATCCATATCGAAAACATCCATAATTCTATACTAAAATCTGTACACAAGGAAATCAAAAGTAGTAAACACTGTGAAAAACACAAATCAACTATTAAACAGTCAAAACTTCTCTGTGAGTTATTGAAAAATCTTTTATGTTCTTATATACGGTGAAAACTCAAGTTTTCTCTTGCAATCATGTTATCAGGTAAGTGATTAGTCTATTATACTTTAGATTCAATTGTTCATTATCAAAACACTCAATACATATCTTTAGTGAGTTCAAATTCCATATTTAGTCATATTTACGCTTTTATTTCAATTCAATCATATTCTTTTTTGTAAACAATTGTTTGTCAATTATCTGTGTAAGAAATACACATGTTTAAGTTAACTTGAGGATGTGTAAGCTTTATCTTGAGTTTTGGTTTCCAAATTGCAATGAGAAATGCAAAACACTCGGCAAATTCGACTTTTCAACTCATTTTCGAAAACATAATTATCATTAATTAACTTGACGTTGAATCAACAAGACCTGTATCGCACCATTAAATCGATAATATTTTTAAATGTTTTCAAGTTCCTATCATCAGAAATACTTTAATCTTATTCTTGTGGAAACACATAGATATACGTTAATCTTTTCTGAAAAACCCTTAATCTTATTAAATATATTGCTGTTTAATCATTAATACATAAAAGTTTGCTGTGAGTGAACGTTAAGTGATGATTCAACATACAATCACAAGTATCGGCTTAGGTTTGCATCACAAAACACTCATCTATTTATTAATAGATAATCGCGATCGAAGATGTAATGAAAACAATTATGTTGACATGATCATAGATGGTGCTATTTTTCATAATCGAGAGGGCGCTTTTGTCAATGAAGTTGAAGCATTAAAGTATATATATTCGATGCAAGCTCCATTTTATCTTATGGGAAGGTTGGTTGGCACTTGTTTGGAGGAGTATTTTTCGATTTTATTTGCTTATATATATATATATATATATATATATATATATATATATATATATATATAATATATATAATATACTATAATAATTATATATAGAACCAAGTTAGATTCTTATGGTTAGTATTATTCTATGCAGTTGAGTTCCTTTGTTTGCTTCTGAATATTCTATGGTAGTCACTAACCGTCAAGTCATTACTAAAACTAATATTAAAAATCTATCAATAAGTATCTATACAGGTGAATAGATACTTTTTACCCTAGCAAGTTGATCAAATTTTCTTAACAATGATTATGCTTTGAATGAGTTAGATGGCAAAATAATAACCAGAGCTTATGTTGAAGCTAATAGTCAAATCAATTTCATTGAAAATGGTTAATTTTTGCAGTTCAAAAAAATGTCTATGGTTAATTAGTATGTTGAAAGGATGAAAGAACGAGAAAAGAGAAGCAGAGGCTAGAATCAAGTTAGATTCTTATGGTTAGTATTATTCTATGCAATTGAGTTCCTTTTTTGCTTTAGAATTGTCTATGGTAATCATTTACATTCAAGTCATTAATAAAACTAATATTTAAAATCCATCAATAAGTATCTATACAGGTGAATAGATACTTTTTACCCTAGCAAGTTGATCAAATTTTCTTAACAATGATTATGCTTTGAATGAGTTAGATGGCAAGCTAATAACCAGAGCTTATGTTGAAGCTAATAGTCAAACCAATTTCATTGAAAATGGTTAATTTTTGCAGTTCAAAAAAATGTCTATGGTTAATTAGTATGTTGAAAGGATGAAAGAAGGAGAAAAAGAGATCAGAGGCTAGAACCAAGTTAGATTCTTATAGTTAGTATTATTCTATGCAGTTGAGTTCCTTTGT